GGAATAAGGAAAAATTTATTGTCGTGGATGGTCCCACAATGTTTATCCTGCACAAGAAAAAAGGAAAGATGAAGTCAAGCGCCGAATGATTGATCCCATAGCCTGGACCTTTGTCGAGCTTCCGCGCGAGGCTGACATCCCCGCTGCAACTGCTGCTCGAGATATGTCCGATAAACTGAGGATGGTCAAGAGGGCGTGTGCATGGTACTTAATTTCCGTGTAGAAACACGAAGCAGTACCGATTCTATGCCTCTAGCAGTAGTGGTCCTCGCATGAGATGTCATTCTTCTTCTTTCTTCTTACTTCTTCCTTCTTCTTCTTCTTCTTGCTCTTCTCTCTCTTCTTCACTTCTTCTTCTTCCTTCTCCCTTTCTCTTCTTCTTCTTCTTCTTCTTCTTGCTTCCTTCCTTCTTCTTTCTTCTTCCTCTCTCCTTCTTTTCTTCCTTCTTCTTCTTCTTCTTCTTTCAGCGTTTAACGGCCGCTACATCGGGTCCGCTCTTTTTGATACAACTCGGCCACACTCCCTTCATCCGATTGCTGCCTGATCGGATGAAATGCCGGCTATTTCAAGTCGGTATGCAAACGTGTCGAGCCAACGCCTGTTTGGGAGCACCGCCCTTGCCGCTTTTCCGTACCTTATTAGGCGAATCGAATTCGAGAGCAGTTTTACGGACGGTGTCAGCCTTCGCGCGAAGTACGTGCCCGTACCATCGAAGGCGCGTTTCGCGCAATTTCTCTGCTATGGGGGCTACACCATACTTCCTGCGCACGACATCGTTACAAATGCGGTCCGCTCGCGTGACGCCCGCCGTCCAGCGCAGCATCTTCATTACCATTACACCAAGGCGAGCCTCAACTTCTTTGGTCTCGGGCCAGCACTCGGCGCCATATAATGCGACAGGTCGGACGACAGATTTTGACTTGAGGCGCTCTGGCATTTTCTTGTCGCAAAGGATCCCAGACATGGATCGCCATTTAGACCATGCCGCACTCACTTGTGCGCTCACTTCCGAATTGAGACTTCTGTCGGACGCAAGTGCTGATCCGAGATACTTGAATGTTTCCGTGCGCTTGAGCACCATGTCATCGATCTTAATGGACCCGGCTCATTTGGGTCGGTTGTCAGGTGCCCTGTCTTGTTGACGTTCAACCTGAGTCCAAACTTCGCCAGACGCTCGGCCCAAGCTTGCACCTGCTGTTCCAATGCGCTCTTATCTTCACAAGTAAGCATCACACCATCAGCGTAAAGCAGGGTCCAAGGCACTTCGTTCTGAAGATCTCATGAGATGGCATCCATGACGGCAACGGAAAGAAGTGAGGAGAGCGCAGAGCCTTGATGTACCCCGACGGTGATGGGGAACTCCATTGAGACACCCGCTGGTGAGCGAACTTGGCTTCCTGGGCATGAGTGAAGGATGCGCACCCACTCAATTAGCTCCGTGCCGCCTCAAAGCGTACCATATAGCATCACGCGGCACGCGATCAAATGCCTTCTCCAGGTCTAAGAAAGCTACGTGCACGGGCTTTCGCTTCTCACGGTGTTTCTCCAGCAATAGGCGGGAGGCATGTATGGCGTCGACGGTGCTACAACCCGCCACGAAGCCACACTGATTGCTGGAAAGCTGGATTATATCACGGACGCGGGCGTCAACAATTCGCTCAAAGGTCTTCATAGTGTACGAGAAGTTGAATTGGACGGTAGTTCGAACAATCTGCCGGGCTGCCCTTCTTCTTCCATATCGGGATCGTCACGCTCTGCTGCCAGTTCTTGGGCACCTTCTTCTCCTCGACGATCTGGTCGAAGAGTTTCGTCAACCAACCCGTAGAAAACCAGCGTCCTGACTTCCACAAATCAGCTGCTATGTCGTCCGGGCTGTTAATTTGCCGGCCTTCATCTTCCTCAGAGCAGCTTCTGTTTCCTGTACAGTGATCTTCTGAATGGGACCATGTGTTGGTGCGGTATAGGGTATAGCGGGATGGGCGAATTCCACCGTTGAGATGCCCTCGAAGATTCACGCCATCGTTGCAACACCCTTTTTCGGTCCATCAGAAGGTGGCCATTCTCATCAATTATGCCAAAAATCTTCTCAATGTCTTCGGTTTGGCGATGACGAGTTTTGGCAAGCCCGTACAGGTACCGCTCACCGTCGCGCGTCTCCAGTTTCTTGCTGATATCGTCAAAGTGAGCGGCCTTAACAGCAGCCACGGCCGTCTTTGCCGCGCTCCTCGCCTTCCGATACTGCCGCCAGTTGTCAGCCGACTTGTGCTCGAGAAACGTGTGATAGAGCCTCTTCTTTTCTCGGACCTTCGCTTTGACGTCGTCCGTTCAGAGCCACGCCTCTTTGTCAATCCTCCGCCGTCCACGCTTCGTTGTGCCGAGTTCGGAGCGGGCGGCCTGGATTATAGAATTAACGGCTTCGTTCCACGTCTCCTTAACAGTTGTGACTTCATGTCGAATACGAGGAATCACAGCTGCCTCCCACTGTTTCCGTCGCCACCACTTTATTCTTTCAGGACCGCATCGTTCTGCCTGCCTATGACTGGGAGCTACAAGTCTGGGCGTGCAGATCAGTGGGCGGTGCTGCCTGGCAACAGTTTCATGCGGTACTACCTTGGCGTCTGTCACGAGTCCTTGGTCGCCATGCCTGATGAGCACAGTCTATTTGTGTCTTAGTACTCCTGCTGTAGAACGTGATGAGATGGGAGTCACGTTTAAGGAATCTTGTGTTCAGAATGACGAGTTATGCGACTCTGCATACTCAAGGACTCGCTCACCATCGGCGTTCCGTGAAACGTAACCGAATCCGCCACGACAAGCATAGCTGTCTTTTGCAGCGCCCACGTGTCCGTTTGGATCGCCGGCTTCAATGATACCGTCTTTTGGTGGCACTTCAGCCGTCTTCTCGTCCAGCAGAGCCCAGAACTCGTCCTTGGACTGCTCAGAGCATCCAGTTTGTCAGGCATAGGCAGAGAAGAAGTGGTAAAGTCGTTGTTCAATAGCGACGACAATCTTCATTAAACGGTCGTCGAAACGATCTACGCTCACAATCGTATTACGAAATCGCCGAGACACGATCACGGCCACACCACTTGTAGTTTTCGGCCCGCCTACAAAGAACGGCTTTGAAGCCGCGGCCTAACTCTTTCGACTTGCAGCCAGCCCATCTCGTCCCTTGCACGGCACAGAGGTCGATCTTCCTACGCTCTGGGGCTTCTGCTAACTCATACGAGCGTCCAGTCTGCGTCCCTACTTCAGCGTCGCAATACGAGCCTTCAACACGTTGCACCTCTTTCGGACTAGCCTGGTTGCCCCCCCCATGCCGTCCATGCAACAAGGACCCTCGCATATTTTTCACCCTCGTCGGGCCTTGCGAGTGCGCGTCGGCTCCCGCGACGCCGTAGCATTATCTCGAAACTCATAAGGCATAGTTGAACATAATGATGTGACATGGGTGTTCGTAAGCCGGCCCGTCACGAAGGCCTGTCGCCTGCAGCGGTTTGTCCGTGTTCTGCTCAGCCCGCAAAAGCGAGCAGGTCCCGGTGGCACCACTTGGAGGAACGGACGTGACCACCTCGCTAAGATGTCTTCACGACTATGAAAACGCACCCCGCCCCGAAATATGGGTGGTCTTGGACCTCTAGCCAAAATTCACAATCGTCAATTTTGTATGAATGCAGATGAGTGACCGCCCGGGATCTACTCTGAGGAGTCACGTGGGCGCAAGCGGGTGACCATCATAGCAAAGGATTCCACACTGTGGCTTTCAGGTGGCTCTATACAGAGAATAAAATCGTCGGTAAAACAGAGGAGGGGAAAAAAAACGCCTGGGGGGCAGCCGAACGTAAGCACCAATAAGTAGGCAATATCTCAGCACCTTAGCGGCAACTATCGTGCTTCTCCGTAAGCTCGGTTACTAGGAAAATTTTCTGTGAAGGAAGCCGTCAGTTGCACCAGTCTGACAAAGCTCACTAAATAGTCGGGGTGAGTTCCCCCTCCTCTGTACACACTGGAAGGACTTTTGTGTTGCACTGAGGTTAGTAAGCGGAGAGCGGAAACAGGATCCTTCTAGGAGAAAGTCTGATGGGTCAGACTGAGGGTCTTTAGGAAACTGTGGCGCTCGTTCGAAAGAGGAAGTATTGCGCTACTTTCGGCTCCGGCAGCGTTTGCGTATGTAAAGAGTTATTGTTGACCGAATCATAAAAACTCGTGCGGGATTCGCCGTCAACCATGAACCCATCCTGAATATCTCTCCAATAGGAAAAGATTCAGATCACATCTATCAAGAAGATGGAACAGTAGAGGCATCGATGCAACATGCCGTCTTCCGTTTCCATAAGCCCAGCACTCGAAAACGTGTTACGCCCAGAAAAGCACCGCTTTTTCTACACTGTCGACAAGTCTGCTCCAGCGCTAGTTTGCGCTGGGATTGCAATGCGGCTGCGAACGCCTGCAGATCGTTACGTATCCAACAGTTTTTGTTAGAGCCAACAGTTAAAGCCATAGGGGGAAGGGGTTGTTGCGGAACCCTCCTCCGTGTGGGGGGGGGGAGGATGGGGTCGTACTTACACCGCCGTTTCACACATCACGATGCTATATGGAGCTCTAGGAGTTTATGTGTAAGCCCCGTGTAAACCTCCGGATTATGATTCCGGGATGCAGTTTCAAACGGGAACGCTCTTTGAAGTCCCGGGTTTGATTTTCCCCGATGTCAGATAAGGCGGGTTCAACAACCAAATCGAATTACTTCTTCACCTCATCGAAAATTCTCGGGAAACGCCAGAACGCAGTAGTGCGAAGGTTTCAAATCCTTGTCTTCCTGCCATATAAGGAACAACAGTTGTCCATTACACCACCATTAGTCATTCTTTCCCAATTAATTTAGAGAACTGTTCCGCAAATTCTGGAAGCAATAGTACCTCAAAATGCTTTCACCGGTATTCACCTTCACCGGCCTGACCTGTTCACTTTTCCTGATTGGATCGATTTGTGAATGGCTTGATATGTCGCAACTTGATATGCCGTCTAGTAATTCATATGAATCAACAGTGACCTTCGATTCTCTTCGATTTCATCACGTGGCTGGTCTGCATGTTACTCTTAATTCTATGCGAAACATCGCTACTCGATGTGGGAGCGAATACACTCAAGGATACGTCTTCTCAGAGAGACCAATCCGTAATAACGAGAAAGTAGTTATAGAGGTAAGAAAGAGGGCTTTTCTCCAAACCACGCTAACTTTCTCACAAAACAGTATTTCAGGTGATCGGAGTTCAGCAGCTCTATAAAGGTGGCTTGGCCTTTGGGGTGACATGCTGTGACCCATCCACGTTGCGCTCGACGGATCTTCCAGAGGATTCATCAGATCTGATCGAGATGCCGCAGTATTGGGTGGGCATCAAAGATATCGCCTTACAACCTCGAATGAACACTGTGCTTAGTTTTTGGATTACTGACGCAGGTAGGTGTGTGTTTTCAGCTTGATTTGCTCGCGTTAGTGCTCTTTGGCACATAATGCCGACCACAAACCGTAGCCAAACTTGCCACCAGTTGGACGAAATGTCCTTCAAACAATTCCATGTTGAGAGCTCTGTTAGTTCTCGAGTTATTTGGTTGGAATGTCATCACCTGTATTACATGAGGTGCGATTGATGTGCTCGACTTGCTTCAACGAAAGTTAGGTCTCAATCCGATCGTGCAGCCTGCCATAGTTTTCAATGAGTCCTCTGCTCAAGTACAAGGATGTACTAGCTATACTGCTGGTTCAGAGCTTTTATGAAAGAGAGAGTGGTTGTCGAGGCAACAGAGCAACACGTTCTTTGTCTTTCTGGTTACTCCCACGACAGTTTTGAGTGCTTCCCGGCCGCTCGCCAGCTGTGGTGCTTAATTGTTCCTCGTATTGATCTCCTGACTGAGTAATCATGTAGGTAGAGCACTCACAGATGTCCGTACATATGAGCGAGGATGGGACATCAGAAACTGTTTGGTGACAAGTTTCATCAGTGTCTTTGAGAAGCCTCAGTTTTTCCGATGTATGATTGACACTTATTGCCATATATGATATACCAGTTTGGCTGACGTATGCTGAAACCTCTGATACTAATCACCGACAGGATTTCTGTGCTAACCACAAACGCTTTGCCTGATTCCCATTCCGGTCCACCTTATCATATTTCTCCTTGTTAATGAACGTTTGCCAGTGTCTGGTGCTTAACACATCTCTCACAACACTCACCGTTCGTTGGAAATAGGACAGCTCAGCGGTCTAAAGAACTTTAGCGATGACAGTATCGAAATCTTAGTGAAAGCCCTTATATCCCTGCGCTTCCGTTGAACAGCTTTCACGTATCCGTTTGGTGGTGGCTCTTGCCATTCCTCACTGACAAACATCTTTAGACTTTGCTGTTTCTATTCCTTGGTGATTTCGTCTAAATCGCCAAGAAATAGAAACATTTTGGCTCACTAAGCCTTTGCCCATTGGTTCGGGGGCTTCGTCTATCACCCACCATCCCCACCTTGGCTCCTACATCACTGCTTGCAGCCAAGTCCTACCTTCGTTGCGACTCACGTTATGAAGTTGATGACCCTCTTCTGGGGCCCTTTGTGGTGTCTCATCAGCTCTTATCACTTCCTGCCACCTACCAATGATGTTCCCATCGTTTTCCCTATCTTGTCTCTTGGAACCGACGTTCTGCAGGTGCTGTGACGCGCGTTATGAATTTAGTGACCCTACCCATCTAAGACCCCCTAAGGATCTCATCAGTTCTTATCACTTTCTGCCACCCAACAACAATGTTCCTGCCTGACCAGCTACAAAATTTATGAATTTGAGTGCCCTATCGCTGTTTTGAAGGGGTTATG